AAGGGGGAGATGCTGCGTGTGAGCAAATAAAGACGGGAGAACACGTGTGTGGATACCAGGCCCTTAGGAAAGGAGCCGGCCTGGGTCGCAGGGAGGGTGTGAATCCACCCTGTTGAGATACCGCAGAAAAGAGACCTAATCATACCGAGGTTAGATGATCAGGGAGGAGTCTGGAGACCAGCAGTGGTGTCTCCTGCTGTGTGGCAGTGCTAAGGGGTGGGGTGGGGTGGCTGTGTGGTGCAAAACAGGCCAGTGTTCTGCTGCATTTAAAAGGTTTGCTCTTAAAGGAAAAAATAGGTGTGTGTCTTGTATTAATTCTTCTTCTTTGTTGACTCTTTGCCAAGTGATGGAAGTAACCTGTAGGGTTTGGTGAAGTGATGAAATTGTGTATGTTGTAGAGAATTTTTTTTTATTATTATTTTTTTTTACAGTCAGTCACCATCATGATTAGGAAGAAAGAGTTCTTGGTGGATGACAGTAATGAAGAGCTTAATAGAAGGAAAATGAAAGCTCTAAGGTATGTGAATTTTGAGATTATTCTAGTGGTTTTATTATTTTTAAGTTCTGACAGTATAATTATCAGGAAATAGTATTGGGGAAATGTAGAAAATAACATTTGTATTCTGCAGTGTTGCAAGTGTGTCTACTGTTATGTTTTATATATATGTACTTGAATCATGCAGTTTGTGGAAAGTTTTAGTATTTGGAGTAGGTTCAGGGAAAAAGACATTTTAAAAGCATCTTGTACATCAAATACTGAGTTATTAGGCTACCAATATCTCATATTGATCTGTATGTGTATTTTACAAGTAAATATATTACTGTTGATCAATGTATTTTTAGTTAAATAACTATAGAATGAATGTCATTAAAATTTATGAGATAACAATCTATTACTGCTAGTTCCATTTACCTTAAATGCTGATTCTGCAAACCTAAAAGCTCTAGTATTCCCTTTATGGATGATTAATTCGGTATCATAGAGGTAAATTGCTTCTCCTCCATTTAAAATAGGGTAACATTATCTTTGTGTGCATGGTGTGTGTTTCATTACCTGCAGCTTCTCTTAAAAAATGGTCCTTTTGTAAAACGTGGTCAAGCTTAATTCCAAGAGAGATGGAAGTCAGAGTTTGTGTTTGGTTGATACCCTTAATGATCTTAAACCTTTACTTTTACTTCTGAAGGCAGTGTCTTAAGATACTGGAAGAGGATTTTACAGAACCAAATCAGAGAAACAGTGATTTCTGTCATGTGTCAAAAGCTGTGAGTGTGAAAGGTAAGGCTTTTGGATCTTGACTTTTATTTCCAGTAATTTTGTGGTGTGTGGTATTCACTGTTAATTTATATTTTATGTGATCTGTTAATCAAATCTGGCAGCCCATCTGTTGTCTTTAACAGATAGTTTATTTACTATATTTCCAGTACTCAGCAAGAAAGACCAATACCTTTCTCTTCCCCTCCTGCTCTTTTTCTTGACAAAGCTGCTGAAAAGTTTGTTTTAAAAGAAATCTCATTTTTTGGCGATTTTCTGCTTGATTATCTTTTTTCCAAGAGTTATAAAATTGTGTTGAGTACATGAAAGGAAGTTGTAGCAAGGTGGGTCTCAATCTCTTCTCCCAAGTAACAAGCAATAAAATGAGAAGAAATAGTCTAAAGTTGAGCGAGGGGAGGTTTGGTTTGGGTATTAGGAAAAATTTCCTCACCAAAAGGGTTATTGAGCATTGTGGAACAGGCTGGCCAGGGAAGAGGTGGAGTCACCATCCCTGGAGGTAGTGAAAAGACGTGTGGTGTTTAGGGACGTGGTGTAGTGGTGGAGTTGGCAGTTCATAGGTTAATGGTTGGACTCAATGATCTTAAAAATCTTTTTCCAACCTAAATGATTCTGTGGTTCCATATAGAGGAGTGCTCCAGTGATGACGCGTTCCTGTTTGTCTCATTGATGAAAATATTCTCCATTTAACAATGTTCACAGTCAGGTTTTCCCTGTGCCTGCTTTCACAGCATTGCATGATGATGTGAAGGTTGAAGACACTGATTTGTTTGGTTTCTCTCCTACAGCAGTAAGTTGATCTAAAGCTTTCTGTTCAGTAGTCACTGTGGTGGTCTGAAATAGTGATTCCAAGATCTTTTGCATTTTCGTTGAAAGTGATGAAAGCAAGTTCACATCCCCTCTGAGATAAGAGCCTGCACTTTATAACCAGCTGATCCCCAGCAAGTCTTTGCTAGCATTTCTCGTTATGCATGTAGCTGTGCAGTGCACATCTGATGTCAGAAGTGTGATTTTAGGCAAGTTTAATTTACAGTTGTCATTAGTGCCTCTTGTTGCCAATTCCATTTCACCTTCTTGTCCATGCATAATGTGCAAGAAAGCAGCTGCTATGTGTGTGCATTTTAAAATAAAACAAAAAAAACAAACAATGTAATTGGGAAGCTACCAGCATACCATGTGAAGGATGTAGGAGAGCAATCAAAATAAATTAATGGCAGGTGTTTTGGTTTGGTTTTTTTTTTTTTTTTCTAAAAAAACCTTGGCTTTGCACAGTGGTGCATAACTTCTTATATATTTCTGTTTTTCTATGTTATGACATGCTAATACCATTTGTTTCTCAGAAATATATATTTTGGACAAACAAAGTGCTTTCTTTTTATTTTTTTACTTTATGCAGAAGATAGGATGTTACCACTTTGATTTTTCTGTTATGAAATTCAGATTTAGCCTTATTGCAAAATACAAATAATTCAAGTCTTTGGAATTTGGCCCTGTCATTAAACTTTATTGAAAAAATAAATTGTAATCAGGTTCACTAATGCAGTATGTTAGAAGTTTTGCATAATAGTGGGGAAAAATGCTAAGAGCAGACAAGAAATCATCGTTCCTTTTACCAGGAGCATTTTTTGTTTACCACAAAGATACACTGATGTCTACAGAGCTTGGGCTTGGAAACTGGTTTCTTACACTTCTGGTTGCTCAATCCAACAGCACTTGCTTCGAAGCTTGTTCTCATTGAAATGAGAGCGGGGGGAGGGGGGCGTACTGAAGGCAGAAACAGGCTTATAGAATGTTTTTTTTTTTTTTATTGGAACTTGGATTTAACTGCATATTTGAACTTGTTTTACTTTTTCCCTCTGAATTTAGACCAAAACTGATTTTAAGCTTGGGCTGTGCCATGACAACTCACAAAGGCTAGCGAGGTAAGCCTTTATTAACTCAGATGTTTTTTATGTCTTTAGATGTCAGACTGGGGGAGGACTCGACCAAGCAAGCATTTTCAGTGGCTTTCTTGAGCTGCATGTAATGTGCCCAAAATAAAATAGAAACTTAAAATTTCATGTATGGCTGTCACTCTCTGCAGCAGTGTTCTCCAGGTCCTCTCACAGTCCATCAGAAACAGCACACTGACCACAGGAAGAACAACACAGTGCTTCCTTCCTGTCGTTGGGATGGTTAATGCAGACTGTTTTTGTGAGAATCTTGAAGGCTCTTTAGGTACATGTGTACTTTGCAGAAGAGCGGGGATGGGTGACCATACAACAGAATTTAAGAGCCTTTCTAACGGGTTTTAGATGATTTTAATATAGTCTGTCATGTATTCTAAAGATTTTAACAGTCTAATCAGTATCTGGTGGGATATCTAAAGGAAAATATTTGGGCAACAAATGAAAAATTAATCCTGGAATGTTAATAGTAATGCATTTTACTCTAATTGAGGATAAAAATCAGTACCAACTACAAAGCTTTTGTTCAGCCTTGCCAAAATTGTCAGATGAAAAATACTTACTAAAGATTAATTTTAAGATTATGCCAGTAGAAAGGGACCTTCTTGAAAAATAAGGTATCTGTAGAATATTACAATGTATATATGTATTTAATGTCAGATTTTGAAATACTCAAATTGTATCTAAAGTATTTGTGGGAAGTTTGATGTTTTATTTAAAATGTGTAGGATTTTTCCTTAAAGTTTTGTTTTGCAGGCCCTTCAGTCAAAATACTGAAAAGAAAAATGGTCAGCACCCAGTTTCTTCAAGTGGTGGGCTGAAGGATAAACCAGCTCTAGCTCCGTCAGCAGACATGGTGTGTTAATACCAAATTTCCTTACATTCTCATTCATTATTTTTGTGTATGTATAGTTAATATTGCACTTCTTGAAACACTAAAATTTACAGCCTTAATAGTTTTGTGCTATTATTCCATCTTATCATAGGATTGATGTGCAGCAATAGTGTCAATAGAATAACTTGACAAAATGAATATAGCTCAAACCCAACCAGATTATAGCTGAGGAGGGCTAGTGTGTTCAGCTGACTGTGAGACTATGTATTTTTAATTTAGCTTTTTTTAAAAAACATCTGGGGCTTCACAATATTTGGATTTGGGGCTTTTTAATTTCTTTTTAAATTTGGGACAGGTGCAGAGCTTGTGTAACACATCCATCCGTAAGGTAGTCACTCAGGGCAGGAAGGTCATTGGACAAATGCATCTCTATTGAAACATGCTACTAAGTTTTCTAACCCAGTCTTTCTGAATTAGGTTTGTGAAGTTTTAGGCCAGGTGAACTAATCTTACGGACATTTTAAAATTACGAGATAAAACAGAAATGAATGATACATCCTGTGCTAGTCCTGTTTCATTCTATGGGGATTGTCCTGTATAGTTACCTTGAAAGAACTGTAACTTGCAAGTCTCTGTCTTAGCTTCTTAGGTAGCCTTACTATAGTGCCCACTAAAGGTTGAAAATTGTTTTCTTTTCTGAATTTTTTTTTTCTAAAAGTCTATTTCATATGAAGCTATATCATGTTATCTTAAACTTCACTGTATTACTGTTGACAAAATACTACAGGAAATAGCCTGAGGTTATCTTTGAAGTATCTTGAGTTTGAGGTCATAAGTAATATTTTGGTGGTAGTCACCTCTTCTGTTGACAGAATATTTTCTTCTCTTGGAGAAAGTTGTTGCGAATGAGCTATGTGAAAACCCACATTTATTGAGATCCTAGTCTTAACTGCTACTCTGGTTTGGTCAGGTTTTTTTCAGACTCCTTTATTTTGTGGTTGGTGATTACTAGATCTTTGGCAGTATCATTTCTTACATCATCACATGAGTATATCCGTGTCTTTTGGAAGAACTTTTATTACTGTGTCATTAATCATAATGAGAACCACAGAATTAGAGAGCGAGCAGTGTAATTCTGTGACATTTATGTCTCTTAAGTCTCCTTGCATCCACTCAAAATAGAGTGGGAATAGTTGTCACAGGCAAGTGTTCCCAACACAGTTAACATCCTAGTCATGCTAGGAGGAGCGTTTTCTTCCCTTTTTCTGCTCCTAGAAAGGAGACATAATAGGTCTGAGATGTTCAGATACATTAATGGGAAAATTGTTCTAGAGATGAAGGTGGCAACGAACATCTTTAATAAAATCCATAATGATGTGTGTGGCTACTGGTCTCTCCCAGTCTATGGGCAGCAGTTCCTTTCACTTATACCAGCGTCTGGTCAGAGACAACTATTCCAGGTTTTTGAACTCTTAAGCTTTAATTTCTCTCTAGTTTGTGTTTGTTCTCCTTAAAACTAGTGAGGAACCCTTTAGAAACTGGAGATGTTTGCATGTTAATTAAGTTGCTTTTTGACAAGGTGAACTGGTTGCTTAACAGTGAGACTTACACAGCACTGTCCCTCACTTTTTGGGGTGTTGCTGGCTGATGATGGTCTCATTTTGCTTTTAGAAAAATACCAGCAATCTAACCAGTACTCTTCTAACACTAGCTTTAGTAGTGCCAGTGACAAAATAAGACATTTCTGTATGTACATTTGCTTCTGTGCCAACTCATACGCAAGTATTTTAATCTCTTTTCTTGCATCAGCATAACACTGGGAGCTTATTTTTTTTTGTTGTTGATTCTCACCAAATGATATTCCTAAATATTCTACCCTTTCTAGGCTGCAGTCTGGCATATTTTCTTTCATCCATATTAGTAACTTTTTTTTTTCCCCTTCATGTGTTTTTTTTTCATTTGGTTTTGTGTGTCAATAAATTGCATGTATTTAGCAAAAAACTTAGAATCCATTTTTCAGAAATACTACAATATAAATGTTCTCAGTGTAATTCAGGTGAGCTAAGTATTTGGGGTCCAATTATAGCTATAGAGCTGCTCAGAACCTTACACAGATCATCAGTCACTCACATTGAGTTCCTCTTTGCCAAAATGGGGAGTAGGTATAGCCCATCTTGTCTTTGAGCCATGCAAGCAACTTAATATATTCACTGGCAAATCTCTCCCCAGGGCAGTAACACTGTGGAAGATATTGACGAAGCTTTGTGCATAGCTATTTCTAATCTCAGCCACTTACATGATGCAGACGAGGTGGGTAAAAATAAGTTAAATAAATACTGAAATATTAAATGCTATCCTTGATTGCTATGAGTAGTCACATGTTAACGTGCTTTTACTGCATCTGTTTTGACATCTCTTTTTGTCCTTCAACTGTTTGTGCTATTTCTGTGAATATACAGCTTTAACTCCAGGCTCTAGTCTGTAGTGCAGTCTGTGACTACAGAAGTAGTCTGTGAAGGACTGCATGAGCCTATGCATAATTTAAAGTTACTAGGTCAATCCATGTACCTAGCAGTACCATGTAAGCACCACTCTTTAAGTACTAATCTTGCGTTTCATTGAATCAGCGTAAAATTCAGCATTTGTTTTTGCTCTAGCAACTCTACTAACTTTCTAGTTCCCACGTGCCTCTTTCTGGATTTAAAGGTGAAAAAGAAATTATGTGGGCAACAGAAGCAATAATTTTAACAGATACAATATGCAAAACATGTAAATCAAGTACTGCATATTTATGCACAGTCTACAATACATGCAGAATCTGGAAGTACTAGATAATGCTGTTAATAGGTTTTGCCAAGTAACCTATGAACTTCATCAATGATAAATATTTTATTTAAACTTTTAACTCTTTTTAAATGTGCTGTGGAAAAGCTAGCAGTTCTGTCTTTACCATTTACTTACATTTTACATGTATTCTGAGATACTCAGGCATAGAAGCATTTGATGATACAAAAGCTTAAAGCAAATTTATTTTAGTAAGTGTGGCCTGAAGTGTCCTTAAAACATGTTTTTCCATTCCTTTCAAACTTGTTTTGTTGCAGTGGCTGATCTGTCAGCTAAGCGAAGATACGGTAAATACCTCATTCGTATATTAACAGCATATTGTAAAAAGCCCAACATCTCAGCAGCTCTAATGTAATAACTCATGCTTACAACTGCAGTCTTCCAACAGCTTTTCAACAAAGACTGGTAACTGCTGAAGCAGTCTTGCATTACTGAGAATTTTTTTTCCATAGTCTCTTCATTAAATGTAACTAAATTAAATAGCAACAAAACTGATACTTAGCCAGAATCTTTTTTTTTTCCTTTATGCTTACAGTGAATTAAAAAAAACAGTAGAAGTTTAATCATGCTAGTTATCTGTGTATGGTGCTATATTAGAATGTCGACTAAGGAGAGTCAGGCAGAGCCCAAGATCTATGTGTTTGTTGCCTCATAGACCTAAAGACTTGGTTTGACACGAAGATCCAGACAGTGCAAGCTGGGTATCAGTTAGAGAAAACAAAGGGATAAACGAGCTGTAATTTTTTCTGACTTGTGCCCTTTTTTTTAATACCAACCACAGTGTGGTTGTCACTCTTTCTGCTGAAGTATTGATTGCTGTCCTACCGTTCATTGCTTCTGTTCTGAATTTAAAAAAAAAAACCTAATGTGAGAGAAATGAAATAATAAATGCATGTTTATTCAATACTGAATGAAATAGATGCTGAAATACTTGGAATCAATAGTGAAGCAGGAAGGAGACAGAGTTGCAGAAACTGCAGATAGGACATTTGATGAACTTGTTACTTCTCTCCTGTCAAGGTAATAATCTGGTATATAGGATGGTGAGGGTGCATTGTCTTTATCAACAGGTTATTTCTAATTCAGATAAAAGCATTCTAAATAAGATTTCAGTCTTCCTCATAACAGTATTTCGTAATTTTAATTTTAGTGCAGTATTTTTGCTCTTTCATAGTGGCATCTTGGAGCTGGTTTGCGTGGTTGGAAAACACTAGTGCATTTGCAGCCTCTGCTCTTTAAAAAAAAAAAAAAACTTAGCTTAATGATGTTAGTTTTCTGAAATAGCTCAATTTTGATAGTGTTTTGATACTGTCACTAGTGGATGACCAGTGTAACCAGTGAGAATTACTTTTTAAAAAATAGCCTTTTGCAAATTTTCAAGCTGATAGAAGCCCAAGGACACTTTATTTCTTAGTTTTCAAAAATACTTGCATATTCAGATTTAAGGTAAGGAAGGGTGTCAAAGCTTAGGATTCCAGAAGAGCCTCTGATGGAGAGGACCCAAGATCTTAATAGACTAAATAGTAAAATCCAACTACTGAGTTTTCAGTTGGATGTGTATGGAAACATTAGGAGGCTTGAATGGAAGAGTGCTTTAAACATTTAATAAAAAAATGTTTCTCCGAACCAAGTGGTTTTTCAGTGTGAACTCTAATTTTTGTGGTTCCTCCGATTACGAAGTGGGTTTTCCATGCTTTCCACTTTTCACTGTTGGAGGAAAATGATATTTCTGTGTGAGATGTATCCACTTTGCGTTGTGGTATAACTGACAATTGTGTGTTAAGGTTGAAGTTTGAATCTGTACAGCTGAGTGCTTATTAAATTTTGAGAAGTAATGTTTTCAATACAGGAAAAGGAATTTGTGTGCAGAATTAGTGGAGAGTATCAACAACTATAGTGCTGGTATTGCAAAAGCTAAGGAAGTCATTGAAGAGAAGAGAAAGTGCTTGATTGGTGCCATTAGGATTGCAAAGGAATTAAAAATTACACCCTCTGTAAGAACCTATTGTGATCTCGCTCAGGTAACTACATTCTTGCACTGTGAAATAATTTATTTCTAATAAATACATTCAAATTTGGATTGAAAGGTTCTGTGAGCTGTCTTTCAGTTTGCTGACTTCAATATTGAGATTTCTGCAATAATGTGTTCTTACACACACACACGAGTTTATATTTGGTTTTGGTCACGAATTTGGGTCTGGTGACTGACATGAGAAAATAAAGATCATTTGTGCCTCAAAGAGCTTGCTATCTGAAACAGCAAATGAAGGGGGAAGACAGGAAACTCTGACACTGATCAGTGAAAGGGCAGTGTGTGCAGCACTTCAGAAGTCTCTCAAGCCTTTCCAATTCCAGAGCTCTCCAACCCTCTCACTGATCTGCTCCAGAATTAGTATTACTCCTGATCCTCTTGGTCCCAGGCCTTTGCTTCCATTTCTTCCTCCCCATCATACTTGCTGTTCATAGAAACACACTTTACCTGCTGTGCTGTGTCAGACCAAAGGTCCATCCTGTGTAGTCTCCTATCTCTTGACAACAGAGGGGAAAAGATGCTTGGAGGAAGAATCTAAGAACCTGGGCATGTAGTGAGTGTAGGAAGTTGAAGGTTAAGGATTTTATAGTCAGTAGGCTACATCAGGGTTATTACACTGAGTAAACATTACCTCACTGTGTTGTAAGCTTGTGTAACACGTGAATGTCTTCATCATGCTTCTGGCAGGGTGTATGTGTGCTTACGTATGTGCATGATACATATGTATTCATGTGCAGTGGCAGTGAGTTCTGCTCAGATTTTAATATTTAAAATGAGGGGTATATAAAATAGCTCCCTCTATTCTTTATAAATGTGCTACCCAGTTATTTCATTTGGAGCCTTTGTAGTCCTTGTGCTGAGAAAAAAAATAACTGGTCTCATAATTCTTTGAAGTAGTGTGATTTTTTTAGACCATCATGTTCCTTGGCATCCAGTTGTCACTTTCCATATGAAGAAGTTTAGTAGTTCTCATCTGATCCAGAAAAGCAATCTGATCCCTCCTTTTTTCTGTCATTTGCCTCCATCTTGCCCAGTGTGACTTTTGGGAGCTGTCACCCACCACTGTCCTCCCATAGGGCTCCCTTCTTACTTAGAAGTCACCTTAGTAGCTATTCATACAAAAGGAAAATCAGACTCCTGCTTCTGTTTACATGCTAATATTACAAAATCCCCAACCATTAGGTCTTAGCAAGGTGTGAAGACGTAATTAAGAATTGACTGTTGGCTGTTAATAAGGATTTTTTTTTTTTTCCTGTAAAATTAAAGGTGTCATGCTCTGGCTTTGTGATGTTGTAGATAATAGGTGCCTGTATAATCTGCTTTTTGTATAATAGGAGCTAAGATTGTACTTCTTTATTTCAGGTTATTTATGATTTAAAGTTGCCAGTTGAGACTGAGCTCTCAAGAGTGAATAGTCTGAAGGAAAAAATATCTCCAAGGTAAATGACTGGAGCGGGAGGTATGTTGGGAGGTAAATGGATACACTGGTTATCTTAATTCTGTTCATATAACAGTTAAACATTAGAAATTGAGGTGCTTCACTTACATTTTACTGAAAAACTACTAGTTCAGATGTATATAAACTCATCACTAACAAGAAGAAAGCACATACAATTTGCTGCTATGTAAACAAATATATATGCATGTAAAAAAATTCTTGACAGACTCTTTCAAACTTCTCCTTCCCTTATAAGTAGAAATAAATTGGGGAGATAATGGCTTTTTTAATTATTATTATTATTTAATCAATTTCTCACCTTCAGGAAAGACTTAAATGCTTTTTGGGGCACTGATATCTAAGAAGAAATTTGTGGAAAATCCCAGTTACCATATTGCCCTCACTGGAAGTGACAAGTACGATTTCTGTATCAGAAATTAGCAAGTAAAGTGTCATGGCTGTGGTACAGCTGACACCATGCAGCTTGGTCATAGGGCTGCTCAGAGTACTGTCGTCCTAGTGAGTAAGCAACGGTGAAGGAATGGTGAAGGAGGGACAGAACTAAGATGGTGTTAGGTTGGAACATCTTGGGGATCCCATTGTATTTCAGGACATGGAACCACTCTTGAGGATAGAGTGGTTGTGTGCTATCAGAAAATAACTTATGAAAATAACTTACTGAACTAAACTGGGTGTAGGTGTGAAAACTCAGGAAGTGAATGTTGGAGTATTCTGTGCATGAGAGAGAAAAAGCGAAAGGCAAGAGAGTTTTTAAGTACGAATGTGAAGATAAATGAGCAACCAGATCTGTTGTTAAATAGGAGTGGAAGAATGAAACTGGAGTAGGGAATTAATCTCTTGGTTTGCCCCTCCATTAGTATTGTGCTGAAAAATACCATACGCCTCAAACTGTCAGTGATTGAGGTATTCACATCACCTTCTACATGTTTCTTCTCTTCTCTCAAGGCTCTTCATAAACACTGATGAGATTACATCTTTGTTAAAAAATTTGGGCAAGATTGAATGGGGAGCAACAGGGCAGTAAGTATTTTTTTAATAAAGAGGATAGGTACAGTAACTCACCTGATACACTAATGGTTAAATATTTATTGGTGATTAAATTCAATTAAAAAAAAAAATCTGTATATGCTTATGGGCTTTTAAGAGTATAATGAAACAAAGGAACACTTCAGATGCTGGTATTTCAATCAGCATTCCATTTAATCCAGTTAGTGTTTCAGTTCTGACGTTTCAGTTCTACCTGTGTTTCACCCAACTGTATTTCACTGTATCACTTAAGTTGTCAAGATATTTTATGCTGTGTGCTTTTCAGCTTAGGCTGCCATTTGGTGGTACAAACATAGAATCATTAGGTTGGAAAAGACCTTTAAGACCTTCACATCCAACCATAAACCTAACACTGCAAAGGCTACCACTGAACCATGTCCCTAAGCACCACAACTATGTGTTCATAGTACACGTAGTAAGAGATGTTTATCGTTTCAGCATATGAAAATTACTTCATGTAAGTGTAAATAAATCTCTAAAATCAACAGCAAATACTGAAATTCATAGTATTTATACTTCACAATCTAAATGCTGATTGCACCAAATAACAAAAGAAATTACTTAAGATGAATTTGAATCGGAAAAAAAAACATACTTTTATTTTAAAAATTACTATTGCCTTTGTTTTATTAGTCCCCTTTATTTCTTTTTCCCTGTGGTCTTTGACAAAAACTTGAGAAAATGGAATGGAGTTGCTTTCAGGGTTGTTGTAGTTAGCACTGATAATGTTAAAAAAAGCCTATTGCATACTGCAATGTTTGAAAATCCTGCAGGTTACAGTGGAGAGTAACTGTTAGTACAGAAGCACCTGACATGTCTTTTGTTTTTAACATGAACTATGTGTCACATTATTAACTTTTTTTTTTTTTTTCCCAAATAGTTTGTATGTGTACTTGTGGTCTCTGATTTAAGCAGTGCTAGCTCTTGTACCGAGCTGTGCCCAAGCATGCGTGCCATTTCTGTGCCAATCTTTTTAGGTTTCAGAAATCATGTTACCCTTTTTGTTATCGGTATTCAAAAACATAACACAGTTTATTTCAACCAGTTTACAAGGTGTTTTCTTAACATAGTGGTATGTTCTTAGTAAAACTTCTGCTTTGACTGGTGTGCTTTTCTGAAAACAGACTGGATTGTATTAATTTTTCTCTAAATAAATCTTTTCCCAAATATAGTGAAGATAATGGACAACATACTGTTATCCTCAATGACAAAGAAGAAATGCCAGGCTGTGATATTCAGTCATCTGTAGAGAATATGTTTCCAGCACTTACCAAACAAAGTAAAATAAAGGCTCTTGCAAATAAACTCAGTGTTCACAAAGAAGAGAATATTACCCAAGTACAAGAAACACTTCCTGTGATAAGTCATCAGAATATTCCTGCTCTACCCAAGTCTCCATCCAGCCCTGATGTCATAATAGAAGAAATATTTGAAGATGTCTTGGAAAGTAAGTTCCTTAATACCTGATGCTTTCAGTGTTCCGTGGTTGAGCACAATGTTACTTAGGTGTTTTTTATTATGTTGTGTATTTGTAGTTATGCTCTGCTCAGATGAATTCTTTTAATGACATCAGTATTTCACTTTATCTTCCTTTGAGCTAGCATAGTTTCTTTTTTGTCCTAATTCAGCTTAGCTTAATGAAGACTTTCTCACAAGTTCTCTCAGAGAGGGATCATGAGTTCCTGTGTCTGCCTGGATGATTCTCTTTGACTCTTAGTTATTACAGTTGCCCTTAGAGTTTCTGACACTGACTCCTGGAGGATGCTTTTCTGGCAGTTCCTTTGGCTTCCTGAATCTTCTCGTAGGGCATTGTCCTACATTAACTGGCAGTAGCAATTAGGTTCTTCAGCTTGTCAGGTTTTCCCTGGACTGTGTTAGTAAGAGTGTAGCTCACAGGTCCAGGAAGTGATCTTTCCCCTCTGTTAGGCTGCTGTGAGACTGAATCTGGAGTACTATGCCCAGTTTTGGACCCTGCAATACAGCACAGCACTATCATAGTGGAGCAAGTCCAGCAGAGCCTCCCAAGCTGGTGTTCAGGAGGTGCTTGGGGATAGGGCTGAAGGCATTAGGAACAAGTTGGAACAGGGAAATTACAATTAGATAATTGGGGGGGGAATTGGGTAGATGCGTCTCACAGTATAATTAAGATGCTTAAATTCAGAGTGTTCTATGTCTGCAACATACCTAGAAAATCCTTATGATGAGTAGTGCTCGGGGAGGATGAGGGAGAGGGTAGGGGTGGTGTGTCAGAGTAATTGTGGTAGCATATAGCTCTGATTAAGGTGCAATAAATTTCAGAGCTTTGGGAGTGACTGCCTAAAATAGCATATTGCAGAATCCCAATGGACTTCACAAAACTCCTGTGAGAACAAAATTCTTTCAGACTGCAGTGTTATGAGTTTCACATGTCTGGAATCTAAGAATTTTAATGATAGTTTTGTAATGTTGGAATTAGCACGTGGGCTGGCCATGTGGACACAGTCACTGTGCGTGCTTCTGTTCAGTCACATCAGGTAGGAGAGTTTTTGCCTTTGCAATACCCTTACAATACATTCAGTTTCTCTTTACTGTGTTTGCTGCTTTACTATAAATATTTAACTAACCTAATTAATTAAACTTTTCTGCTAAAACCATAAACAGATTTTCCCACAGAACAGAGGACAAAACTCTTCAAGAAGGAAACGCCTTTTCAACAGAAAGCTGGTTAGTGGTTTTCCTATGTGGTAAATGGTTTAGTTTACTAGAAGGGACCAGTCCTCTAAACAGTGAGAGCAGACAATGGAATTTGTTGGAGAGTTGGACATGGATGTTAGCATTCTAATTGGGATCAGGAATGTACTAGGAAGGAGATCTTCTGACTCTCCCTTGTTAGCATGTGTTTGCTCACATGTAAAAGCAGACTTGGGGCACATGAACTGATTTCTTTCCAGTTAAAACTAGTCTGGGAGGTGCTTAAAGTGCAGGGGTCAGTAGTTTATATACTGAATTTTGAACTGTTGTCTTGTTCTCCCTCCACGTTTAGTTTTCTGAGTTACAAGTAAATGGATAAATGTACCAAACTGAGAGTAATTTGAGGAAATAAGTTACTTCATTCAGAAATTCTGTAGGCACAGTTTGTGCGGTGCTTTGAGGTTTGCTCATTGCTGAGAGTAAATGGTAGTAAAAGTTGAAAGAGTAGAGATCGCAGTATGGGGAAAGAAAGAGACTGAGCTAAGAAGTTGGCAAAGGAAGAAGCAGATGTGGAAAATACTGCTGCAAAAAGATGGACTCAGGCTAATATTAGCATAGAAAAAAGATTAAGGAAATTGCAATTTTTTGTTTTGTTTAGGGAGGATGTTTGGTTGGGGTTTTTTTCTTTGGGTTTTTTTTTTTTTTTAACCTCAGAGTCATGTAAATATGCTCTCGCCTGACAATTTCCTGTCCAATAACTTGTGAATTCACTGGGTGGTCTTAGTGTGACAGTTTTCACTCACAGTGACACTGTGACAGTTTTCGTTCGTTGTTCTGTGTGTGATGTTTGAGCCTTTCCAGACACCCGAGTCTCTCCCATGTGTACACCAGGAGAGCAAGATCTTAAGAGATTAAAGTATCATACTTATCTGATGCATTCTTTTTATCAGTAATATGCTAAAACACATATTTTTTGCAATACTGGATCTTTTTGGATTATGAAAAGCATAATTTGAAGTTTGATATATCAAGTTTTTAATTCTCTTCTGCTAGTAGCATTAGTTATCAGATGAATAATATTTGATAAATTTTTCAAATGCTTTTCAGACAGATGTTGTTTGTTGGGATTTTTTGCATGCATTTAGTTTAAGGAACATTCTCAAACAGCTTAAAGACATCTCTTCTGGATCCATCTGGCTGCAGTGATCCAGAACAGGCCCAGCTCCTGTTACTGTTTTTGGCTGAAGGTGTCAGCCTCCACAGATCTAGTGCAGTGGCTGCTCATACATGCTTTTCCTGGTCTACTTAGACAAGTGAGCTGACTCATCACATTGCTGAAGATAGTGACCAGGGGTGATCCAGAAGAGTTAGCATACCAGTAGCTGAAATCTTTCAAGTCATTGAGACTTTCCACTCAGATACCATGTTTTCCACTGGAAATGCTCAAGAGGAATCTTGTGTCTGTTCTGGACACTGCATTTCCTCAACTTCCAAGCACAGTCCTGCATACCTGCTCAGAGTGTTTCAAATGGCAGATTCTTTGTGCCATCTTTTGTCCACAATCAGTTGTAGTTCAGAGATGGGCACAGAGATGGCAGCGTTGTAGGATGCTGCAAATCTGTCTGTTTACTGTGCCCTGATCAGTCACACAGGTGGTGTTGGATCTAGATGATGCTATCCACTCTTTGCAGGAAGTTTTGTAGTGTAACAGCTCTTGTAGGAATTGAGTTGCTACGCTTCTAAAACCTTCTGACCCATCCACCACCTTTGGTGAGTAGCTTCAGAAAGAGAAACCTGCATTTTGGATCCCAAATCGAGGCAGGTATCTGGAATACAAAGGATTTGGATGCTTAGTCAGAAGTACTGTTTATACAGGATCATCTAACTTTAGGCTTTTCCTTGATCTTCATGCATTATCACTGAATAACTATACAAAAGTGCTTAGCGTACCTGTTCTTAGAAGTGGGAGTCTTAATTTATCTACCTTATTTTCTTGAAGCTTCCTATTCCTATGTTAAATACAGAGAATACAAACTCTGAATTACCTACTTAAATTCGGGTGACCACTTGCTAAGCAGTCAGACCGCCTCTTGTTTTGCAGGGCAGCTTAAGGGAGGTAGTTCAAAAGAGAGGATTTAATCAGAAAGTAAACATGGTTACTAGTTTGAAACAAAATGTGAGCAGACTTGTCAGATTAAAAGCTAACTGAGGTAATGTTACCGTGATTAATGCAACATAAACCTAATCACATCTAATAATATTGGTTGGAGTCACTTGGACAGTATTTGATAATCTGTTTTATGTCTTACTCAGGTTCGACAGAACTAGTGTTTGTAAGCCATGTTATAAATCCATGCCACTTCTATATTCGGAGGTACTCACAGAAGAAAGAAGCAGGGGTTTTGGAGAAGAAATTAGAAAATTTTTGTTGTAATACGAGTTCATATCTCTTGCCTTCAGATGTTTTGGAACTGGGTAAATTATTAGTTTCTAAAGGTCTACATTGCTCAAAATGCTATCTTGCAGTATGTCTTAGTATAATACTATTTTTTGTTTTTTCTCCTCCCTCTTCCCACCCTCCCTTTACATAGTAAAGCGATCCTTACATGGTCTGGAATCTACAATTAATGCTTTTTGGAAAGCATTGTACATGTTGTTTGGTAAAATAGACTTATTAAATCATATACATGAAAATGGTAGAAGTAAAAAAAGACTCCGCAGTTCTTCTCAGCCTCAACAAATTGAGTGCTTAGAGTGAACAGCAGCTGAAACCTTTTCCAGCATTAGGTGGTAATTGTTAACCCATAGTTCTTTTTCAGTATACTGATTTTAATGACTGGCCTAGTTCTTTCATTACTTCAGTAAATCAGCTTTCTCTCATGCAAGCAACATTCCCTTTGAGTGGATAGATGATTTTTTTTCTTTTTTCTTTTTGAAGTTCAGTAACTAGATAAAAACTGTTCTGGAACTCAAACCAAAATATAATAATGCATTACTAAATCATTAAAATGCTTTTCTAGCCCACACATTGGCAGTGTTACTGGCTTCTAGAATGTGTTTGTAAAACTGATAAAAAGTATATCATAGCCCTCAACTTCAGTGGTTTTTTTGCCACTTCAGTAAAAGGTATAGAAAGTTTGCCAGAAACTGCTTCTTAATACAAGCCAAACAACTCCTATCTTTACGGGCATTGTGTAAATTAATGTGGAGAGAAAACTTCTGGTGGCTACTGAGACAAGGTTTATAATGTCTTTGTGTCTATTTTAGCAGTAGCACTCTTACTACCTGTGTGGAAGATGAGCAACATTAGAACATTATGCAGAACTGTAACAGTACTTCCAGTGTGAAATATCTACAAAAACTGAATTTAGTCTTTTCTTTATTTGCTTCCATATAGGCGGTAGAACTTTTATTAAGAGTAAGGAAACTGGAATGTGGTGCCGTGGAACTATCACTGAACTAATTCCCTTAAAAAGTAAAAATGAGAGGAAGCCTTGTGATCCAATAAGATACAAAGCTGGTGATATTGCACTGTTGGAAGTGTTCCTGATCGATTTTGGGAGCTCTATAGTTCTCATTTTCCCAGGGTACGTTTACAGAGAGGGGTTTTTGTCTGCAATTGTTGTCCTTGACTGTTGCTATTCAAGAGGATCTTTGATAAGAAACAAGTCCTCCATCAGCTTCACACAACCAAATACCCAAATGACACTAATGTTCTGTACGTACCTATTTCCCACAGGAAGAGTGGCAGTGTATGTGAGTACACAAGTGTACAAGCCTTCACACGTTAAGATGTTTAACTGAGACTTGCATTGCAAAAGAGAACAGGAGTCCTCAGTGTAAAAAAAAAAAAATAATAATAATTTGAGACTTTCTAGTTTTGTTTCAGTGACATGACATTATGCCAATTATTGCAATAATGAATTTAATTTGAGTCTGGTGTTGTGTTGGGGTTTTTTGCTTTTCTTTTAAGCTACCACTGCCTTTATTTATTCCCATTGACAATAGAGATGCTGCTGCTGAAAGGCCTGAACTTGCTACTCTGCAGACCATTGAAACAGATGACATTTGTTTGTTCATGAGGAAGCCCAATCAGCATATTGAGGCAGAACTTGAAGCCGTTCCTCCTTTAGCAGTACGGTGTTCACTGAAGGATGTTGTTCCCACAAATGCAGTGAGTAAAAGCTGTTTGTACTAGTTCAAGAGATCTTTTTTCTTCCTAAGATTTATGTTAAAGAACTTAAGTACATAATTTACAATTATTGTATTCCAGTATAAACAGAAGGAAACTTGAGAGGAGTACAGTGTATATTTTATTTAAAAAAAAAAAAAAAAAAATCCTCTCTTGTAAACAGATAAGTTGCATTGCTTTCATTAGAAAGGAAACAAGTGCTTATAGCAGTCTGTCTTAAAAAGCTCCTGCATTTACAAGTAATATGCTTCAGGTTTAAAATTTCACTCCTCTTACTCTAGACATGTTCTTTAGTCAAATTTAAAAACAAATTACAGAACTGATATTTATTTCATGGCTGGCTAATAACTTTATGCAAGTGTTATCTTTCAGAAATCATCCAAACAGAGAAGAAATGGCTTCAGAATTAAGAGAATGTTTTCAGGGGTTGTCCTTTGTTACTTAAAATTCTTTGCCACCTATTGAAAAGTGTTATTTGTTCTCTTTCAGTATAACAACAAATAAAAGTACTGTCAGCTTTTATGCCATTCCAAAAAGGGCATCTACTGCAGCATTGTTTTCTTCAATATTCACTGATGTTTTAGGCTTCCTTTAGTTTTGCAGCATTCACATGGGAGTGAACTATGTCCAGTGCAGCTGTGCATTTCTAGCAGTATAGCTGCTGGTTGGTTTGGGGTTTTTTTACCAAATTTTTCACTGGTCTGGTGTTGTCTGAAATAGCTTTAAACACGGAAAATCTGGAACAGTTTTCACAGGTGTGGGTAAAATGCCTTCCTTGAACATGCTTTCATTTTTTTCACACCTAAAAAGCACAGATTTGCAGTATCAAATGAGAAATGCATTAACTTGATCCAAGAGAAATAAATTCAGACAGGCTTTTTCAGGGTAGATAAAATGTGAAGAAGGATGTTGTGGAGAGGAGGAATGTGTAAATAGACCAAACTATGTAGTACATCTGTATAAAGACACAAAAAAGATAGGGAAAAACTTTCAAACTAATTGGGAGAGCAGAAATCTAAGTCATGACATGAAACAGTATATGACAATTCTGGTTTATCTGTCAAGAATCAGAGGGGATGAAATCTTGAATCTTTAGAAGAAATGTGATGGAAACTGCAGCCCTTTGATCTGACTCAGTTTTATACAGTTAAATATGCTTATAGATCCATCATAGAATAATGTTTAGTGCCATCCTGACTATGTACTAGACAGTCTAACAATGTGTTCAGTATTTCATCTGTTCAGATGCGTTTGTGCTCCCTTCCTTGCTTTTATTTTATTTTATTTTTAATTACTATCTATATTTTAACATTCTTCACACATCTAACACATCTTCAGTAACTTTTTCTTTCTTCCTAACACAGAGTGAAGGTTGGGAAGAGGAAGCAACGACAAAATTTTTAGAAATGGTAAACAATAAAGTTGTTTTAATGACCATATTTAGAGAAGAGGATGGTGTTCTCATTGTGGATTTGAAAAAACCTCCATTTAATAAAATAAACAGTAATATGCCAGTGTCTCTCAAGGATGCATTAGTGTTTTTAGACTTGGCAAGGTATGTGTTTTCCTTTAGTTTATGCTCTTACACAGTAAATGTCAACAGCATAATACTTATAAAATGAAGTTTACCAAGCGCGTTGGTGTTGCAGTGTTTGATAAATTAATGTGTTGATGTATTAATCTTCAGCAACATCTGTTGATTTGCTTTTTACTGCTTAGCACTGTGGCATACTCAGTTTGCACTAGACAGGGCTTTATTTGGATAATGATTTTTATTTTAGAAAATGATAAAATTTAAATTTCTCTACAAGTTTGAGTAACAAGGGAGTGAAAGGAGAAGCCCATAGTGTCTACCACAGGCAGAAGAACGTACAGAAATCAGCCTTGTATCTGTTAGATTTAGCTGGTAGGCAGTGACAGGCTAGTCAGCACATCAGAACCAGCGGCGTGATGTGATGCACATAGCACAATGAATAGGAGAAACAAGGGTAGGGCAGAAGGGGGAGTTTGATGTTAGGGCAGAGGAGAGCCGCTTTGGAGGGAGCGTAACTGGTTATGCTGGTGAGAACAGTGGGAGGCAGTTTCTTGGTGTATCTGTGTTCCTCGGGCAATTGCTTTTTCTCATAAGTGAGGAAAAGGAAATCTAAAAGAAAATAATTTTGTCAGTGTAGTAGATTCTAGCCTTTTACTGTATCTTTTTAACAATTTAAATGTACACTACTGCATCCCAAATAACAAAATCTTTTAGGAGTCAGCTGCCGTATATCATTCTTCATATGTTACATTTGGGATGGGAAAAGCATTAGAGAGAATTGGTTGCACCAACTGCAAGAAGGAACATCCAAGCTATTCATACAAACATGCAAATCAAGTTACTTTTATAAGACCACTTTGCATTTTTCATGGGAAATTTGACTATAAAAGGGTTCATTCTCACTTAATTTTGACAGAATTTATTAAAAATTTCATTTTGTTTACCTTAGGTTTAGATCACAGCCTCCCAGTCAGTTAGAAAATAATACCATCTTGCAGTATAGTCCACCTAAGATTCCACAAGAAAGAGAAGAAGTCTCTGTTACAGTTTGTCACATTAATAGTCCAAGTGATTTCTATCTCCAGTTGGTAAGTTTAGAAATACGGTCTATTTAAATAAAACTCTGAACATGAATGTTGAGCTACTTGTAGTCCACATGAAAAAAGCTACAATTGTCATTAATTTCTGTCACTTATTACCAGTTTTAGGATTCCTAGAATTAAGATTATTGATTCCTACAATCCTAGATTAATTTCAGGAATTCTTAGAATTCCAGAAAGTTAACATTTTTTTGTCAGTTTTGTTATATGGTTAATTCCTCTGTGGGTATATAGTGTTTCACTTTTTAGAGTGGTGATTGAACAGGGCAATATTAAACAATTCTTAGGCTCTTTAATTCACTTTATGTGTTCATAACTACTGTTTAATTTGGGGAGGGAAGACTAGGAGGTACAGTACTAGAAAAAATGTCCCTTAAAAGAGCAAAAATACCATTAAAAAAAAAATCCGGTGTGTATGTGTGTTTTGTTTTTCTTACTTTAGAGAGAGAGCCTGGATTCTTTAGCTCTTCCAAAGAAAATTCAGGAGGTATATAAACATAAGTATGGGAAAAACTTGGAAATTGTCCGTCCAGTTGAAGGCCAAGCCTGTATTGCAAAACAGAAGGATGGGAATTGGTACAGAGCACAGATTATAGGTGAAGTATTGATTCTTTCACTCTAATGCTAAGTTGCAAAATCAGATGTGGCACTAGATCAGAGTCAGACACTGGATAGGAATAGTAACAGCCATTATTTTTGCCAGGCATTCTTGTACTAATAGTAGGTTCATGAAGTCAGTAGTATTAATTCACGTTATATTCTTTTGCTATTAATGGAGAGGTTTATACATTTTTTTAAGTGGTATACTTTATTTTCTATATAGTGTTAAAATTCTATTCTAAATTATTTTAATTAATGTTTTACTTACTATTACAGTTAGAACTATAGATTCATCTGTTACAGCCAACCTCTGAGTGTAACTAGTGTGGGTTAGTAATTCCCCACTGTAATTCCCAGGAGGATGGGTGTTGTACTTGTGCTGACCTCTGCGTGTATGGGCAGTGTGGCATGCCTGTATGCTGGCATATCTACTTGGCATGTATTTAATGTGCCAGTGTCTCTTAAAGTGATGAGGTGGAAGGGGACCAAAATGCTAACTCTGTCATTTCAGGAACCCAAAAGAGGTGGCTCTTAAATGTAGGGGTTTTTTTACTGGGTTATAGCACATTTGAAAACGTGGTCATTTATGATGATATGGTGTAATTGTGGATTTTGCTCTGAAATTCTGGTGCCTTAGCCTGTATCAGATAACTCATTTTTTGTTTTAGTAACTTGGGTTGTTTTTCCTGAAGGGCTGCCAAGTCGTCAAGAAGTTAAGGTAAAATATGTTGACTTTGGCAACATTGCGAACTTAACTCTTAAAGACATACGCAGAGTGAAAAAGGAATTTCTGAGCTTCCCAGAAAAGGTAAATTTGTGCTTACATGGATTAAGTACTCAAAATTAATAGAATCTCAGTGGATGGAAGGAGAAAGAGAGGGTTGTTAACATTCTGAAGTAAAGAAAATGTTAAGTAGGTTCCTTTTCACATGGGTTTATGATGTGACTTATTTAATATGTTTTGGGTGCACATTGAAAACTTTTTTTATATCATTCAGTTTTAAATTAAATCTAATATTACCTTGCAGTGAGGAGGTATATATACATTGTGTGTGTTTTATTCAAATGCCTTCTTTTTCTCCATAGTAAGCCAAATTAAATTTTACATTAACTCATCTTCAAATTATGGTCTAATAATGGTCTTTCAAAAAATTTTTTTGTTTGTTTGTTTTATGGCATTTCAGGTTTATTGTTTTCTTAACTTCAGGTATTACAGAAATTTCCCCCTTCTGACAAGAAGAAAAACTGAGTGGGAAAGGAAATGGCAAAGTATTTCTGTCAAAAAATGACATAAGTAGCAAATAATTATTTTTCCTCAGCTGTTCATTCAATAGTTCTGGTTGCCAACCATAATTATGCTAAACTTTAAAACTTCATATGTTGTTAAGTGTTTTTTAAGCTGTCACAGGCACCAGAAGTAGTGATTGTTGTAACTAACTTTGGCTGTCATCTTTTACTGAAAATAGGATTCAGTTGTTTATATTTTGAGCAGATGTTTCTGGGGAAAGTTTAGTACAAAATAATTGAGCCTTTTTTGACAGCAAGGAAGAGGAAGCATTCTGAAAATCACAAAACATTCTTGCAGTTGTAATGTCTTAATGTGTTAGATCAAAAAAGCTAATGAATAAGGATATTGGGATTTTCATTGTGTGTTATCCCATCATTCCAACTGATTACTTGTTATTGACCAAATATAAACCCTCAGAAAAATCTGTTAGTAGTGTGTCAGCTCTTGAGCACATATTACTCTACCTCCTCACTTTGTACATAAAGGAGAAGGGCCTGAAGACTTACAGATACAGATGGGTGTATGACCACTAGAGAATTGTCTAAAAAACTTGAACCCATCAGTTATTCTCAAATTTCAGCATTCTTATGCCATATAGAGGTTATGGTGGAACACTCTGGCAAGGTGTTTGTACTTGAAGTTTGTGTAAGAAATAACTTCCTGTTGCTATTAGTTTTAATGCAAGCAGTAGAAGGATCAGCAGGCTTGAGTCTGCTTGTGTGTTGCTATGGTTTAAAATGTTTTCTATTTAAAAAAAAAAAAGGGGGGGATTTAAAATTCCTTGAAACATGAAGGAACACAAGATTGTGAAATCAATCCTTCAGAAAGTAAGGGTATCAGAAGTGCAGTTTCTTGTGCAGGTCTGTCCTGTTGTATGTACGCTTTGGTAAGCGTTCACATGTGATCACATACTGTGTTGCTTCAAATGTAAGTTGGTCGTTTAAAGAGATTTGAATTCGGCTGTTGAAAAAGAAGTCAGACTTTTTTCAAGCCATTAACACAGTTTGCAGGTATTTTAATGGACTTGGATGCTGCAGAAATCTTGGCCAAGACTCTAATGAGCAGTGTTTAATGTAGTGTTGGTTTTGTCATCTGCAGCCCTTTCTTTCAATGGTTATTAGCCTGTCTGTCAGTCTTGTTTCATATTCCTAACTGCCTGTATGCTAAGATTATCTGCACAAAACATTCTTATTTCTCGTTTTTATTTCCTTTCTCTCTCTTGTCCCCTTCCTGTGTTACTCTACTTTCTTTCAGTGCAATAAATGAGAAGGAGGGAACAATAATATTCACAGTTAATTTAAAATTGAGCCATAATATAATCACCAAAGTCTGAAATAACAGTGCTAAACAAAAATTCTTTCAATCAAAGTACTTCATCTCATCTGATTTCCTGTGTGTCTCTTTTTTTATGTCTCCTAATTAATACCTTTTGAAAATCTGGCAGGTATTTTCTGACACAGGTGTACTGTGGTACTCTGGTGTCTCTGTTCAGTCCTTCAGACTTCTACATTGGTATAGTCATGTTAATCTTAGATGCTTGGAGTTTGAGTTACTACATCATGATAAGCAAAATGGGATGAAGGTCTCTGTAGTAGTAATCTTCCCTAATCTCTGCACCCAGTTCTATGCCAAACCATAAAGGACAACAAGAAATAAGCTCTATTTCTGCAAGAATGTATCTGAATTTGAGGTTCATGCTCAGCAGGGAGCGGGAATCATCTTAAATCAAATAAATTAATGATAATGTGGAACAAGAAGCCAAGGTCATGCTGTCCTGCATGAGTGCAAAGCAAAGGCTGTGATTTGGCTGTAATGAGATGGTCGTGATACGTGGTGGTGGTAGATAATGTAATTTGCATTATTCTTTAGGCAATTAGGTGCAGGCTGGCTTACATTGAGCCTTATAAAGGGGCAAATGAATGGACTAGAGAAGCCAAGGAAAGATTTCAACAAATAACTGAAGATAAACTTATGCTGTGTTCAGTTGTTGGTAAGTTGCCAAGAGTGTTGCCATTGATTTATATTTGAATATTATTAAATTAACTCAACTGGGGAATCATGCACTTTGATATTCTAAATGGTATTTAATTGAAATGCTTATGTTCATACTTGCAATGGGTAGCCTGGGGTGACAGTATCTAAACATGAACTAATTGGAGGAGACTTCTGACAAAAGCTCTGTTTATGTCTTCTCTTAAGGACCACACCACCAATACGTGATATATATGTGTACTGGCTTATTAATATGGACTTGTTTGCAAAAGTCCTACCTATCCTTGACTCTTCCTGACTTTATTGGTAGCTGGGAGTGTGATCACTGCTACTCTAAAACATCGTAAAAAAAACCCCAAAACTCAGATAACACATACCTGCCTTAGTAGTATTTTTGTCAATACCATGTATTGTTAATATGCAGCTAGTTATTTTTCAGCACCTGTGGAACGGTGATTTGGAACCCATCTAGTAAATGAAATTACAAGTAGCAGTTATTTTCTTTGTACAAAAGCATTTTGTAATTGTGGATTTCCAATTAATGCTATAGGTATGTGCAGAGGTAAGCCTCTGCATGCTGTTGATGTTCAGAATCAATTATTTATTAAACCAAATGTAATTTTACAAAATTCTGTCTCTTGGTACCATTTCCCATGTCTCCAAAAACATAAATAGTCTTTATACTGTCACTGATTGGCACTAATTATGTTTATATTATTTATTCACAGAAATTTTAGATAACAACATCTTATCTGTTGAACTCTTTGACTCCTCTGCTATTCATGGAAGACGCTTTAGTATTAATTGTCAACTAATTGTAGAAGACCTAGCATCCTACATACCTCGGTAAATACACTGTGCATAACTTTAAGTGTTTAGAAATACTGAATTTGTGTGACAAAATTACTGGCTAAAGTCACCTCCGATGTCTGGAATTTACCACATTTGTGATAATTTTGTTACAAATCAGCAACTGATGTAAGTTACAGAGTGAAACACTGCAGTTTGCCTTAGTTGAATTCTCAAACTAAATCTTGACTAACACAATTTATTGAAGTTGTTTCAGAGGTTGGAGATGAATGTTTGTATCATACTTGTTTGTATCATACAACACCAAGTTGGGTAGCAGTGTTGATCTGCTTGAGGGTAGGAAGGCTCTGCAAAGGGATCTGGACAGGCTGGATCGATGGGCCAAGGCCAGTTGTATGAGGTTCAGCAAGGCCAAGTGTTGGGTCCTGCACTCAGGTCACAACAACCCCATGCAACACTACAGGCTTGGGGAGGCGTGGCTGGAAAGCTGCCTGGGGGAAAAGGACCTGGGGGTGTTGGTCAGCAGCCGACTGAACATCAGCCAGCAGTGTGCTCAGGTGGCCAAGAAGGCCTATCAGGAATAGTGTGGCCAGCAGGACCAGGGAGGTCATCCTTCCCCTGTACTCGGCACTGGTAAGGCTGCACCTCGAGTGCTGTGTTCAGTTTTGGGCCCCTCACTACAGGAAAGATGTTGAGGTGCTGGAGTGTGTCGAAAGGACCACAAAGCTGGTGAAGGGGCTGGAGCAGAAGTCTTATGAGAAATGTCTGGGGGAGCTGGTGTTGTTTAGTCTGGAGGAGAGGAGGCTGAGGGGAGACCTTATCGTGCTCTGCAACTACCCAAAAGGAGGGTGTAGCAAGGTGGGTCTCAGTCTCTTCTCCCAAGTAACAAGTGATAGAACAAGAGGAAATGGCCTCAGGTTGCACCAGGGGAGGTTTAGATTGGATAATAGGAAAAACTTCTTCACCAAAAGGGTTGTCAAGCATTGGAACAGGCTGAACCTTGGAGTCTGAAGTTCATTCCAAATTGATTGTTTTTTCTGATGGATCTGCAATGATAATACTATACTGGAGTTACTGGGGGGAGGGTTGGGAGAACTCCCCATGGCAGATTGACCATCCGTTTCGTGGTTCAGACTAGTTGTATGCAAAGTGAGCATATTTATGAGCTACAGTGTTCCATTTCTTTCCTGGTTCTACAAATTAGCTGTTTTACCCAGCAGTTTCCAAATATGTGCATCAGGAAGGTTTGCATAAGTAATTGTGTAGCAGTATATAGTGGATGATTCAATACTTCCTGTAATTTTCTCTCTTGAGAGAGCAGGTTCCTTCCTTCCCATGATAGAAAAGACACATGATAGAACTCTGAAAACCGAAAAGAGTTTCTTCCTGGAGGCCCAGAAGTGGCCAGCAGTTAACTCATCCTTGCTTTCTCCTTTAGTCAGTGATGTTTACAAGAAGCCAGTTATTTTGCATTAATGGGGGTTTTTTTTCAAGCTGCAATGTCTTTCATCTCTAGTTGTCACAGTTCACACAGACTTGTACTAAGCTGGGCTGTGGCTCAGACTACATACCAGCCAACTCTTGATTGCTGCTGGGCTTTATTCTGTCCAGTTCATACAGTTTAAACAAGTTTTCATCAAGGTGTTATCGTGACCATACCATTCAGTACTCTACATAGGAAAATGCTAAAACCAGTTGTGTTGCATTTGTATCCTCAGGGAATGCTAGAAAGGTAAGTGTTTCATTAATTTTATTATTATTTACTTTTCAGGGGAATATTGATGCGTCTTAGAAGTTGAATGTTGCAGCTTTTACTCAGAGGCAACGTTAATTTCCAAAAGCATGATATTAGTAATTTGGTGTTGTTTAAGCCAGACACAAACACTAATGTTCAGCAGCCCTTGTGTCAGGCTTGTTTTTCTGCTGGCAGACTACATGTAGTGCTTTTATCTGTCAGTAGAAAGTGCAAGGATACCTTCTGAAGGAGAATAAAAATAAGTTGCTATCATGAGTGTTTCAGAAGTATCATTTTAGAAATGGTTTTGTCTTTTATTGGGATTTTTTTCTGCTTTTTTAAGTTACTCGTTATTCTGCGCTCTTCTTCATGTTGAATGATTTCTGTCATGTTGACCTGTGATTATTGAGCTCTTTTTCACTTTGTTTAAAATGTGTTTGAACTTTACATTCTCATTACTTCATGCTGTTTACAGGTACACTGAAAGTACTGCTGTAAAGCCCAATGAAATATGGGATGTTCTAGAAGAAATTCCTGAAGCCTCGGAAGCTTTAAATCCTACGGTCATGGAACCTGTGAATGAAGGAGAATTCAAATCGCTTTATAAGAATGAACTACAAGGGAAAATAAGTCATGTTGTGTCTCCTAGTAAAATTTTTGTACGGTGGCTGTCATCAGAAACTGTACTGAAGAGGTACTAAAATTCAAAGAACTCTTCTTGAGTTGAGCCATTCTTATTACGAACTGGTGAAGTATAGTTAGAACAAACTCTGATTAGGGTTGCATTTGACATTGGGTACTTTTTTGAATGCTACTGAATTATCTTGCTGCTTTGAGGAAGGTATAGGAACAGAAGACAGATAGGCACTATGTTGTGGTTTATTAAGTATTTGTGATTCCAAATGAAGTATCTGATCTAACTCCTATTTCAAATCAGTTTTAATGTAGTAAGTATTGAGGCCTGATAAATGCAACTCTGTCCAGAAAGATTAAGTCCTTCTGCTCTTTCTTTTCTCCTTCCTTTGTTAGAAATTTTGTTAAATAATAGCAGTATACTAAGTCATAGAACTTCAGTCAAGTCAGTTCTTTCAACGTGATTCTCATACACTGTTAGGGAGGTTCGAAGGCAACGGCTAGACATAGTGTATCAGCCTTCCTTTGGTAGATATTTAGATAACATTTAGGCAATTGCACGTACTATTAGAAGACAGTTAAATGGAAATACCATTGCTTAGGCAAGTTGCTTATATTCTGCCTCTTATTTCTCCTTTCTTTCATCTTTTTACCTTCTTGCATGTAGCTACCTAGACTCCCATTGAATTAGTCGTAACACTAAAGGAGTACCACGCTCTCAAGGTGTTGAGAGAAAATAGTGCATCTTTCAAATAGTGCTGTACAGAAGGGTCAGGATCACTGAGGTTAATTCTGTTGCTTAAGAAAACATGGTAGTTTTACAGAATTTTAGTCAGATTGCATGTGTTTTGAAGCTCCATTTTATGTATTTCTAACATGTCATGAAGAAAAACTACAATGCTATTCATCTATTAAACAGTTACTAAAACTTTACTGTAAGCTAGTTAAGCAGTAATGGACTAAATAAACCCTTTGTTCACTGGATAAAATTTTACCACTAAAAAAATTTGTTTTTTGAATGTTAGTTTACAGGAGAAGATGGCTGCCATCTACAGAGAATCCCAGCCACAGTCCATAAAATGGGAAAGTAGTATGCACTGTGCTGTTTATGTACATGATTTGAAACAGTGGCAAAGAGGTCAAATAACCAGGATTGTCTCTGAAACAAGTGCAGAGGTAAACCTGTTATCTCAAGAGGGTTCATACTTTTCTTTCTAAAGTTTGTAAGTATTAATTGATTAAAATAATGTCAAATCTTTGCTTCTTATTTCTATGTTAATATTTTCTCATACAGCCTTCTGCTTTTGTCAAGAGTTTTAAGTTATGTTGTACATTGCTGCAAATAACATTACTGCCTCATCAAAGCTCAGGTGACTTTAGCAGAGAACCTGGTAGTTGAGGAAGGCTTGTGAGGTTGACTTTGTGTATGTTTACACTACACTTGCAACATAGCACAGATTTCCAAGCTGTAGCCTAACAGTTTAGCTTAGATTCCAGAAGCTGTGTGAACTTGAGGGTCATATTAATTCAAAGATAATTATTCTTCCTGAAAGATGGAGCCAGTTGAACTGAGTGCAGCACCACAGAAACACATGCAGTCATGCTGTTGCTTGAACCCTAAACAGATGGTGATGCACTGTGCCATGTAGATGTAACATCTTCCACAGTAACTTCTCACACAGTGATGCTTTAGACATGGGTTTTGTTGCACTCATTTGAAAAGAGTAAGGAGCATCAGAAGAGGCATTTCATTAATAGATAACTACTTACCTCAAAAGTAAGCGTGGCTTTTTAATCATACAGATAATCCAGGACTGGATTATCATTGGTTCTCTCCACCATCATCAGATTATGCATGTAGGTCTTGTTCGTAGGAAGTAGGAGTAGGACTTCATATACTTCTGGTTTGCATCATCTGCTTTCTTAAGGCTTAGAGCCCTCAAACAGCTATTTAACCACATCAGAATAAAAAGCAGTGGGTGGAGGAGAGCTATTTTGGTGTTTCCAGGTTTGCAAATTCAAATGCACCAACATAACTGAAGCAGGGGAAAAGAAATTTTCTAATTTAACAACAGCTTCTGTAAAGTTGTTTAACCCCATTTCAGCACATCTATGTTTTGTCCTCTAGATACACTGTGGTGGTCATTTGTGTTGTGTGATGGAGTACTTAGGTGCAAAGGCCATTTGTTGAATCCTGCTAATGTTTGTTTGAGTTTTGTTTACCTATTCAGACATGCTTTGAATTATCATTTGTTACAGATAACAATAAGGGGGGGTTTCTTCTTTCTTCTGTTTCATTGTCTGTAACAGGTAATACTCTATGATTTTGGAGCTGAAAAAACAGTGGATATCAGCTGTCTAAGAAAACTTGAGGAAAATATGAAGAAAATTGGGACATTAGCAACAGAATGTTCCTTGGTAGATATAAGGTAGCCTTTCACTTATACTGGGTAGCCGTGTTAGAAACCTAATCATGACAAAAACTTAATATTTTCCTGTGTTAGCACTGATTATCTAAGATTTGGATGTAGTTTGCTTTTTGAATAGAGAAGAAATGGGGTAGCAGATGTGGTCTGTAGTAAAGTGGAAACTGTGCTGTAGAAAGAAAGAATGTTTATAGGATGAATTATAAATAATGGACAGGTGGTAGAGAGGTTTTTCTTATTTCATTGAATGCTTTTTTTACTTGGCTCAGAATTTGAGATGAGTTAGACCTCATGAAAATACACAGGTCCCTCTTTTCTGGACTGTGAAAAAGAGAGAGAATCAGGGTATTCTTCCAGGTATTTTTTTTATGTGCTGTCTGTACTGTGAAGAAAAAATAATCATATTTGTAACACCCATTCCCTGAATGAATATAAAAAGCCCAATTTGCAGATGAAGTGTTTTTCCTTTGTTCTGTTAAGACAGGTGTCATACTTCTGGAACTCATGATCCTCCTCAGTTTTGAAGTTTTGGGGTTATATTTTTTAATTCTTCGTGTCATATAGATCCAGAGCTTAATAATGGTTTCTTTATACTGTTGAGTGTAATGGAGATTCTCGTTTTTCCTGATCAGTACAGGCAGTTTCAAAAAAATCAAAACTTGGTAAAGGGAAGGGTTTATGGTTAAACGCAGGAGATGCCAACTTCTTGTGTACTAAAGGAGTTTATAATTTTTTTCTATTAGACCAACAGGTGGAAGCACACAGTGGGCAGCAACAGTGTGTGAATGTTTATCCTATTACCTAACTGGTTCACAAGTGAAAATAACCATACAGGTTTGTAATCAAAACCAGCGGTATTTCTAAAATTTCTGTCAGGTTGTCTGTTAATTTAGGTTTTTTTCTGAATATTTTCATTCTTCAAAAAAGTCCTGAGTGGAACTTGAATGGATTGCTGTTTGATGAAGGGAAAAAGATTTTTTTTTTTTTTTTCTTTTTTCTGCTTTATTTTCGTTACTCACTGGAGCATTAGAGCAGTTTGGCTACCCAGTGTGGAGAAAACATAGTCTTGGATATACTTAGTTACTGATGAATAATATTTACATCTTTGATTACTGGATGCTGACAGCTTTTATGGACAGATGAGCAAGATGCTCATGTTCTTGATGAGAAGAGTTTCAGCAGATACCGTCTTAGTATTCATAGAATCATAGAATGGTTT